GCTCCCGTCAGTCAACTGAGCAGTACTCCTGCTGTGGGAGCGCACTGACCACCAGGGGGCAACTCCTACATTGAGTGTCTGCCCCCTGGGTGGTCAGTGTGCATCACAGCGACCAACTGACGGGTTGTTCAGTCGCTCAGGCCTTTATATATATACTAGAGGCCCAGTGCACAGAATTCGTGCACGGGGGCGGTTGCGGGGCGGGGGGGGGGGGGTGTTGTCCCTCAGCCCAGCCTGCACCCTCTCCAATCTGGAACCCCTTGGGAGATGTCTGACTGCCGGTTTAGGCTCTCTCACAATCCGGGACCGCTGCCTCCTAACCACTCGCCTGCCTGCCTGCCTGATTGCCCCTAACCGCTTCTGCCTGCCAGCCTGATCGCCCCCTAACTGCTCCCCTGCTGGCCTGATTGACACCTAACTGCTCCCCTGCCGGCCTGATGGCCCCCAACTGACCTCCCCTTCCGCGACCCGCCCCCTCCACCAGGACCTGCCTCCTCCTCAGGAGGTGACGGAGATGCCGGGAACGGCCTCCTCCATGCCATGCAGAGCCGCGGGACCCCCAGGCCTCACCACGCGGAGTGGCCTACGGGCCCTGCCTCCACTGTGCGCGTAGCCATCTCACGGTGGCCAACTTGTGGCGGCCATCTTGTGGGTCACCTTGTGACAACATAGTGCGTGAGGGTGCGAAAACCACCTAGACTTTTCTTAGTATAGATAGATAGCGTGACAGTAGATACAGTAAAACTGACAAAGGTGCTGTCCTTCAGATAGCACACAAATGCCTTCACTTCCTGTTAAAATACCACCTCAAAACTTCTAATGCCAGCTTCAAAAGGATTCAGTGAAATCAATAACCCCATCATGTTCAAAGCTTTAAAAATCTAACAATAGGAAATTATATTGCTTCTAAAAAAATCAGTAAAAACAAGTCACATTGGCCTATTAAACTCGAGGAAAATAATTAATCATTTTCTAAATAAAAGATCTATTACCAGAAGTTACTGCATGTATAAATTTAAAAAGAATTTTTTCTTTCCATAATATGGTTGTTATTTCCCTATTTTGTATTAAATCTTTGGCAGTCTTATTTGAAGAGAATAAGAGATGTTTATAAGAGATGTAAGAAAGGCCTATCATGATATAAGAGATATAAGAGATGTAAGAAAAGCCTATCCCTTCTTTACAATGACTCTCAAATTTGTTTTTCCCTTTGACTGCCATGGACATTTCTACAAAATCCAGCCCTCATTATTTCCTCCATGATTGCTACAAGAACCTCCTGGCTGTTCTTTTTGCCCCACACTTCTTCCCACTCAAATCCATTCACAGTGTGTTGATATATAGTTGCTAGAACATCAACTCTGTTAACTAAACAGCATAATCCTGCATATCAACCATAAAATGAATAAAATCCAAATTTCTAATTTCACAATTTGTATCAATTGATAATTGATACAAATTATCAATACCAGTATACACAATAGGGATGACTCTCATCATCATTATGTTGAAAGGAGGAGAGCATAAAAGAATATAGAATGTATGATTACATTTATATGAAGTTCAAAAATAAGCAAAAATAATCAATGATAATATAAACCAGAATAGTGATTACCCTGAGTAGGGGCTGACTGAGAAGAGTGACAGGAATGTTCTGTATCTTGATCTACATGGTGATTACACAAAAGTACACATGTGTACAAATGCATCCAGCTTTATGTATGCTTCAGATTTGTGAGTTTTATCCACTTTACTATTTATATCTCAATAGAAAAATAAAGAAAAATAAATTTAAACAGTTGTGAATATTTACCTGATCATGTGGAGGATAAGAACTTTCTAAAAATCGGAGTACATAAGATAGATATCTAAGGAAAAGACTGATAAAAATATTTTCAACAAGGATGACACATAATACATTCCCATGTGCCTGTACGACATGAAGAAACTTTAGATCAGGGATCAATAAATTAAGTCTATGTCCTATTTCTATATGATCCCAGAAGTAAGAATGATGCTTACATTTTTAAAGGATTTCAAACACACACATACACACACACACACACACACACACACACACCACACATACACACACAAGGAAGAACATGCAACAAAGCAAAATATTTACTATCTGACCCACTAAAGAAAAAGTTTCCCAACCGTTGCTCTGAAAAATAACGTAAGAAACTAATAAGTGCCATCACTTATAAAAGCAAAACAGAGGAATCAAAATGTGGGTAGGAACAAGATTTCACAATGTACACTCCAATAGTATATCAATTTTCTTTTGTAACCATGTAAATGTTTTATCTATTCCAATGTATGATCTATCTAAAATTACTAAAAAAATAAAAATTAAAGATATTAATATTGTGATGGCCATATGTTCAGTTAGGAATTATGTTACAAGGAATGAAGGAGAGAATGGATATTGGACAACTGTATAGTCTGTCTGAACACTCAGGAACTTTCCCAGGGGAGTACTTGTCTTGTTTAGTTGATATTTCTGGAAATGTGCTTTGGTTGTGCCTACAACTTGTCTTTTATATGCCACAGACCAATCACAGACTCTTTTTTCCCATATTGATGATATTTATTTATTTATATTGCAATCACAGATTCTTATTTTCTTTTTTAATGTATCTTTATTGCTGAAAGTATTACAGATGTTCCCTTTTTATCTCCCATTGACCCTCTCTACCCTGCACCCATTCCCACCCAGGCCTTCACCCTATATCTGTGTCCATAGGTTATGCATATCTTATACATACAAAAGCCTAAGCAAGCGAACAACCGGTCGACCAGTCACTATGATGCGCACTGACCACCAGGGGGCAAACACTCAACACAGAAGCTGTCCCCTGGTGATCAGTGCGCTCCCACAGCCAACCTTCCACATCCAGCCAACCTCCCGTGGTCCCTCCTCCCCCCAGCCGGCCAAGCTCCCAAGGTCCCTCCCCCCAGCTGGTGAACCTCCCATGGTCCCTCCTCCCAGCTGGTCAACCTCCTGCGGCCCCTCCTCCCAGCCAGCCAACCTCTCGTGGCTCCCTCCCCCACCCCCCAGGCCGGCCAATCTCCCACAGCCCTGATTACCAGGATCACTGGCCAGGCTGAGGGAACCCACCCATGCACAAAGTCACGCACTGGACCTCTAGTATGCATAGAACTTCTTTGGTTAATCTCTCTCCACCCACGCCTTCCCTCTGAGATTCACCAGTCTGTTCCATGCTTCTCTGTCTCTGGATCTATTTTGTTCCTTTCTTAGCAATATTTTTTTTCCTTTCTTAATAATACCTTTAGCCTGGCTGAAATACAATAAAGTATGTATAATCCTAACCAAATTCATTTTCCCCTTGAGAGTTAGGAAAACAAGTCAGATAAATATTATACAAAAGACAATAAAACCAAAGATTTGATTACATTTATTAATGGTTTCAGGCCATTATCAGGATCTTACCATCATTCTAAATTGCTCCAGCTCTTGAAAATTTAAGTCAAATATCCCTCTCTAACCACATACGCCCTTTATACCCAGCATATCTGTTCTTGAAGCTCATCAGGAAATCAGATCAATGAGCCTTCCACCTTTCAGTCCTCTCCTATTTTCACTCCTACCCTGTGTTAAGCTCTACTCTGTCAGTTTAATCACGCTCACAGCCAAACCTTCAGTTCTCTTGCCCCCAAATTCCTGTCACACCTGCCCTATCAATCCTACTTCCTTATAGACATCTCCCATATGGATGTCCTAGGTATACAAATTCAAAAAAACTGTCCAAACTGAACTTATCAACTCTCTCCCAAGACTTGCTGCTTCTTCTATATTTAATATCTCAGTGAATAACATCAAAAATCATTCCACTGGCCCAGCCCAGAAACCCAGGAGTCACATTTGATTCCACCCTCTCTTTGAAACTCTCATATGGGTCACCAGAACCAATTAAAAAAAAAAAAAAAATCCGTCAGAAAATCAGAGGCTCTCGCCAATGTACATTACTCTACATAACAAAATTTCCACCATCTCCACCTCACCCATAACCCTATTCTTTGCCTGTACCACAACCCTTCCAGAAGATGTCTCCATTCCTTCATCCAAGGTGAAGCTACCTAGATCAGTGCTTCTCAAACACTAGTGGCAGGCTTTTGTAAAATACAATAAAAATGAATTACTAGGCAAGTGATTTTTTTTCAAAAGACATACAAAAAAAGAGTACAATTTTATTAAATCCAAATGACAAAAAAATTAGTCAAACTGACATATCTATTTCTAGATGTTCATTTCAATTGCTATAGGTATATAGTCAAGGACCAGTAACAAACAAAAACACTAAACCAGACCACAGCTGGCCCCTACCTCTAATCTGTTTCCTTTGTTTGCATTAATTTTCTCATTATAACACTATTCCCTAACTAACGTGCAGCCTTAACTTGAGCCTTAACCTAAACCTTTCTATTCTATCAGAGATTTACTTAACATGCATTTAGCTCACTTTAGTGATCAAAAGAACACAAACCAACACATAGTTCTACCTGTTTTCTCTCTGCTTTATATCCCTCTCTCCTTAATCTCCTCATTTAATAACCTGGGCGCCCTTCTCCCCTCTGAAATAATGGAATCCACTCCTCTATCAATTCCGCCTTCTCGGCACATGGAAAAGCAAGAATGCATAAAAGTTCGACAAGAAAATTTCAAAATGCCTCTACAATTAACAAAATTACTTTCACATAAAAACTTCTCAATGAATCTAATCCAAAACAGGGGACAATATTAAATTAGAATATAATATCTACACATCATACACTTGCTATGGAATAAGCACTCTCATATGGAGATTATACTAAATAACATTAGAGTCACAATTAACAGATGAATCCACAATTATATCTTGTGAAGTAAAGCAAATCTTCTATTAAACAGGCATTTCTAATTTTATTTGAGCAATAACGGAAAGAAAACATTGATCATAATGAAATCAGCCAAGTATATAAGCAATTGTACTTACGTGTTAGATGAAAGATTCCATCACAGGCACTAATATGAGATAAAAAGGCATTTCCCAGGCCTTGTCCTTGGTGAGCTCCTTTTACAAGACCAGCAATATCCACTACATTTAGAAAGGCAGGAATTTTACTGAAAAAAAAAAATGAAAGATGGTTTTATTGTAAAACAGTACTAAGAACCTATTTATGATTACCCTGGCAGGTGTGGCTCAGTTGGTCAGGCATCATCCCATGCACCAAAAGGTTGCTGGTTCAATCCCTGGTCAGGGTACATGCCTGGTTGCAGGCTCCATCCCCAGCAGGGGGTGTACAGGCGGCAGCCAATTGATGTTCTGCTCTCACATCAATGTATCTCTATCTCTCTCCCTCTAAAAAAAAAGAAAAAAAATTCAACAAAATTACATTTTTTTTTAAAAGAAACCTATTAATTAACCAAATGGACTTCCCAAACATTTTACATGAATTAAGTCTTTCTTTTCTTTTTTAATTTCTTGTTTATTGATTTGAGAGAGACAGTAAGGAAGAGAAAGAGAGATAGAAACATCAATTTGCTGTTCCACTACTTATACATTCATTGGTTGCTTCTTGTATATGCTCTAACTGGGGAGTGAACCCACAAGCTTTGTGTATTGGGACGACACTCTACCCTATTAAGCCACCTGGCCAGGGCCTAATTCTTTCCTTTCTAAAATAATGTTTAGAAGACTCTTAATAATGATTTAATAAATAAATAACAAAAACAAAACAAAAAAGAAATAATTTTTTAGTACATTAGGACTTTCTTACCTAGGTAAGTGTTATAAAGCAGAGTAGCTGTTTTTATTGTGTCTCTAAAGATTAAAACATATTATCATATTCTAATTGGCATATACACCTGCACATGCACACACACACACTCAGTAGAGAACGTTTAAAGAGTATACTGATTCAATGCAAGGTAATCATCATAGAATAAGCCACCGTACCTTGTGTCAGGCATTGGACTAAATGCTTTACATGCATTATCATTTCAATGTTCAAAACAATTCTATCAGGTAGGTGTTATTTATTAAGCCTACTTTACAAATGAGGAAATTAAGCCTTAGAGCAATTAAGAAACCAGTTGTGGGGATTCAAACACAGGATATCTGGGTTCACATTTAATCACCATATAGATTATCTAGCCCAAACTGCATATAATGATGTGATCCAGTTACCACAGTAATAATCCAGTTGTTAACAACAGCAACCGAATTAAACAGATATACAAAATAACCTTTGCTTTGCTCAAAGTAAAGTCACAGTTAACACAAATCAGAAACCAAGTTAGGAAAACCAGTCAGCCACGTAGAAATGGAAATTAAGTTATATGAGTAAATAAAGTTTTCAACATCACATGACAAAGGTGGATGCTAGAGTTGTATGTATTATGTATTCTCTGTCAATTTTTAAAGAGTATTCATTTTTTAGAATGTCAGTTTCACCATATGATAAAATACAACATGAAAGTTCCACAAAATACTTCCCTATTATCTGCATGGAAAATGAATCCTTTAAAATTAATTGTTCCATAAAAAATTTTTATACAGATAGTAATTACTTGGCAATTGTTATCAGCAAATCCACAAGAAATACACACAAAATGTGGTTAGTTTTTTTTGTTGGATATTGTGGTTGCCTCCCCAGAATCCTTTGCTCCTCCTCTTGGTAACTATATTGATTTTCATTTGGCTAGCCAAACCTCCCCAAGGTATCCCAGAGCTTTGGAGAAGCTGGCTCTACCCCTACCTCTAAAAGGGTGGCATATACTTTAGGCCTATACCAAGCAGTTTAATCTCCTCCCCTAGGCATGATTAATGATTCTAAGATCTTCACCTTGCCCCATTTGCCTAGAAAGACTTAAGGAGGTTTGCCAATGGAGCTTAGCAGTGTTCTGGCTCATGAGTCTTCTGAGAGAGCTTCTAGAAGTAAACCCCTCATCCTCCACTCTGAATGAACATGGATGAGAAAGTATCCAAGTCCAAGATTTGAGAGACAGCCTGTGACCACAAGGAGGAAGCAATCTTATGATCAAGCTGATAAAGAAAGTAAAATGGAAAGAGAAAAGACACCAATTCTACACAATTGAGTTACTGAAACCAACACTAAACATCATGCTACCTATGATAAAACAACTAGGGGCCCAGTGCATAAATTCGTGCACCTTGAAAGGAACTGTAGGCTGTGAGGCTGCAGTGGGCACAGGGCCGGGTCTCAGCCCACCCTCCATGCCCCCGCCCAGCCCCCAGGCCCCTGTCTGCCAGCAGCCCCGCTCCCACCGCCACCACTCCCAAGTGCTGACAGCGCCAGCCCCGCTTGCACCCACTGACAGTGTGGAGCGATTGGGGCTGGCACCGTCAGCAGGTGTGAGCAGAGGCTGCTGCCCCGATCACCCCTTAGGAGAAGGGGGAGGTGGAGAAGTCCTCAGGAGTGATCGGGGCTGGCAGCTGCCACTTGCACCCGCTGACAGCGCCGAGCAATCGGGACTGGCACTGGGCACCAGCAGCGGGTGCAAGCGGCAGCACTCGCTGTGGGTGCGAGTGGGGTCAGTGTCGGCAGTGGATACAAGCGGAGGTTCTGAGCACCGGGCAGGATCATGGTGCGCAGGAGCAAAGAATTTTCAGTAACCACCAGAGGCTCACCTGGATGACAGTGACCGGCGCCCCCGCTCACCTGCTCCACTATCCCACCACAGCCACTGCCTGTCATGCTCCGTGCACACCCCTTAGTGGTCAGTGCACCTCATAGCAACCAGTTGTTTGGTTTTTCAGTTGTTCCACCATTCAGTCTATTTGCATATTAACCTTTTATTATATAGGATATGTTGAAGTCAATATGTTAAGTACAACCAAACTCATCCTAAGTGATATTTCTAAAAATTAAAACCACCCATATGATAAATATAAAGTTCAGTAGCATAGATATGAGTGAAAAGGCACTGAATTTGAAATGAGAAGCCTTGGGTTCTATTCCTGGTTGACATTAACTATGTGTAGCCTTGAGCAAATCATTTCACCTTTCTGGGCTTCCTTTTTTAAGGAAACTAAACAGGACAATCTATAGTTCTAAGATTCTATATTGTAATGAAAATTAGTTTCTTAATTCTGATTCTAGATTTAAGGTTTAAACTAGTAACACCACATCTAAAAACAAAACAAAACAAAAAAAACTGGCCCTAGCTGGTTTGGCTCAGTGGATAGAGTGCGGATTGAAGGGACCCGGATTTGATTCCGGTCAAGGGTACATGCCTGGGTTTTGGGCTCAATCCCCAGTAGGGGATGTGTAGGAGGCAGCCAATCAGTGATTCTCTCTCATCATTGATATTTCTATCTCTCTCTCCCTTTCCTTTACTCTCTGAAATCAATCCTATATAATAAAAGCCTAATATGCTACCTGTCCGGTCATTCATTCAACCAAAGTGTAATATGCTAATGATATGGTAAGGCCACTGAACCTCTTGCTATGACGTGCACTGACCACCAGGGGGCAGATGCTCCGACTGGTAGGTTAGCTTGCTGCTGGGGTCAGGCCGATAGGGACTGAAAGAGACGGGCCAGCCATGCCCTGGAGCCCTCCCGCGGTCCCTGGCTGGCTGGCCAACTTCCGATGTCCCTCCCCAGTCCCGATTGTGCACCAGTGGGGGTCCCTCAGCCTGGCCTGCACCCTCTCACAATCCGGGACCCCTTGGGGATGTCAGAGAGCCAGTTTCGGACTGATCCCACAGGCCAGGCTGAGGGACCACACTGGTGCACAAATTCGTGCACAAGGCCTCTAGTAAAACTATTAAAAAAAACAAAAAACTTGAGTACTAATTCAAGGATATTTGATGACTATATAGATAATTTCATGACTATTTGAGCAAAATAATGTTCTTATGAAACTTTCTTGACACTAAAACAGGGGTCCTCAAACTTTTTAAACAGGGGGCCAGTTCACTGTCCCTCAGACCGTTGGAGGGCCAGACTATAGTTTAAAAAAAAAACTATGAACAAATTCCTATGCACACTGCACATATCTTATTTTGAAGTAAAAAAACAAAACTGGAACAAATACAATATTTGTATTTGCATGTGGCCCATGGGCCATAGTTAGAGGACCCCTGCACTGAAACAATAAAGCTAAAAATCTTTTTAATCACTATAATATAATGAATGCAGAATACTAAAAATATTTATATGTTTTTCTTCAATAGAAACAGGTTGAATAGGATATTCCTTCATCAAAAAAATCTAAGCCCTGGCCAGGTGGCTCAGTTGGTTGGAATGTCATCCCATACACCAAAAGGTTGAAAGTTCAACTCCCAGTCAGGGCATATACCTAGGTTGCAGGTGAAATCCCTGGTCAGGGTGTATATGGGAGGCAACTGGTCAATGTTTCTCTCTCTGTTCCTCTCTCTAAATATCAATAAAAACATATCCTCAGGTGGAGATTTAAAAAAGAACAAAAAACTAAAATCTTACAATACAGCAGATAAGTTTGGGGTAGTAAGAAAAAGTAGTTTGAATCATCGTCAATTTTTTATTTGCTTGACCACAGAGGCCAAAATCCATAAAGGTATTTAGTCAATGTTCATTACTAAAGAGAAAGCCAGGGGAAATTTTAAGAGATAATTTCCTCATTGCCAAAAATTTCAATAAATTTTAAGTCCAAGAGCTTAAAAATTATTCTCTTCATGTTTCTGAAAATTTTCAGCAATGTCACATGATCACACAGTCTGGCAGTGGCAAGGGCCCACACAAAGAGAGAGACAGAGTGGGGAGAGAAGGCAGCGCAACAGTAACTGGGGCGCTATCCAGGGTCCAAATCAGGAGACAACCCATTAGGATTAAGAGATTGGCTACATTATAAAGCATATTATTGGGACAACTGGAGAAATCTAAATGGAACTGGTGAATTAAGATGGTAATATGCGATCAATGTTAATGTCCTGATTTTGATGGATTTACTGTGGTTATGTAGGACAGTGTCTGTATTTCATAAATACAAACTGAAGAACTGAAGTGCAATGTGGCATCAAGTCTGTGACTTATTCTCAAAGGTTTGGAGAAATTTACATGAAGGGTATATAAGCATTCTAAGTGTAATTCTGTAGCTTTTATATAAATTTGAAATCATTTAAAAATAAAACATTTTTAAAAGGGACACCAAAGTTACCTTAAGAAACTAATTTGAGGGATATATATGCCAATTAGAATATGATAATATGTTTTAATCTTTAGAGACACAATAAAAACAGCTACTCTGCTTTATAACACTTACCTAGGTAAGAAAGTCCTAATGTACTAAAAAATTATTTCTTTTTTGTTTTGTTTTTGCATATTACCCTGTTACTATATAGGATAGAGGCCTGGTGCACGGGTGGGGGCCAGCTGGTTTGCCCTGAAGGGTGTCCCAGATCAGGGTGGGGGTCCCACTTGGGTGCCTGGCAAGCCTGGATGAGGGGATGATGGCTGTTTGCAGCTGGTCGCACCCCCTTGAGGGTGGGGGTTCCCACTGGGGTGCCTGGCCAGTCTGGGTGAGGGGCTGAGGGCCGTTTTCAGGCTGGCAGTTGACTGAAGCTCCCAACCTCTCCTTTTTTTCTTTTTTATTATTCTGGGATTTATTTACCTTCTATGGCTGTCACTGGAGCTGAGAGCCGGCTTTAGCTCTGAGGCTCAGCTCCAGCTCTGAGACCTCGGCTGCTGAAAGCAGGTATCTGGGTTTGTTTGGGTTTATAATTGAAACTCTGTTGCAACTCCAGCTCTGACGGCTGAAAGCAAGTTTCTGGGGTTTGTTTAGCTTCTATAATTACAACATAGTTTCTTAGAGTGCAAGCTCAGAGCCCAGCAGCGGCAGGCCCGGAAACTTGGCTTCCTCCTTCACTGGAGCAAGCATGCCTCCTGTTCGCTTCAGCTGCCTGGCTGCCGGCCACCATCTTGGTTGGCAGTTAATTTGCATATCTCGCTGATTAGCCAATGGGAAGGGTAGCGAAGTTACAGTTAATTACCATGTTTCTCTATTATTAGATAGGATTATGGTTTACTTCATGTTTTTAAATCTAGAAAAAGATTAATAATACCTCAAGTAAAAAAGTATCCTATTTCTGTAAGTACATGTGCACACATTCAGGGGTAAATGGAAAAATATACCTCCAATGTATTTACTATATCAAGGTAAAAGTATAGGTGATTTTTATTCCTCTCTTTATACATTTCCATATTGTCTGAACCTCCTACAAGAAACTTGTATTATCTTACTTTTTATAATTAAAGAAATAATTCATACTTGTTATAAAAATTTCAAATACAGAGGAATTCAAAAAATGAAGTAAAAATCACCTTAAAATCCCATTACCCAGAGATAACCATCAAGTAATTTTTGATCTTCATACATTTTCCTATGAATATACACATATATGTATAATTTTACATAAATGAGATCATATAAGATTAATTACTCCATTTCATATTCCCTAGAAAAAATAACTGCAATTGTTAACAACCAGATGTATTCATTTTCACCCTTGTCCATGCTCTGCTTTACTTTGCACCCCAAAACAATACTGCTATATTAATTTTGGGAAATAAAACTTTCTACATGATTTTAAATATATCACTAACAGATATTTAGTCAGTTTATACAGGGCAACCAAATAAAAAATGGCATAAAGATTTTCTTACCTTACTGGTTTGTGGTACTGGCAAAGAAAATCAAACCTTTCATCTGGCACAGGTACTCTGCTCTCATTGGGGTCAATAGTGCAAAACGGGAAGTTCTCTGCTGAAGCCTGACTATTGGTTAATACATTGAAGAACGTAGATTTCCTAAAATGAATAAAAACAATTGAATCAATTCTTAGGCTAAGACTGAGAAAAAATTATCTAATTTCAATGCTCAAATAAGATTTATGAGGATTTATAAAACCAATCTGGGATGCAGGTGAGGAGGAAGAATACAATTTTTCTAACAGAAATTAATGAAATTTACAACAATGCCGCTCATGATGTATAATTAGGTTATGTTCCTATCTCAGTGTATTTGGAACTTGAAAAGCATTTTCCCAAAGAATCTTTGTTATAAATGATAGCTAGTCCCATATCACACCACAAATCTATTTAATTCCTAAAGTACCTGGTAGTACCAATTTATCACTTCACCTATATCTAATATAATCTTCTCTAGCATAAATGTAGATAGATGTGTATCTAGTTAGGTCAATCACTTCCTAAGCATTCTGAATTGAGAACTAGGTGCTAATTGTCTAATAGGAAATGGGAGATTAGAACTTGGACTTCTTCCTAATTATTAGTACATAACGATTACTGCTAAGTCTAGAATTGTGAATTATGAAAGTCAAAATGTGAATTTTTTCAAGGTATAACAACTTTTAACATCTATTAATAATGAATAAATTGGTTGATAATTTTCTAATTATCTGATTTTTATCAGGTAATACATGCTCAGAGAATGACAACTCATATCAACACCAGCCATATTTTATATATATATATATACTAGAGGCCCAGAGCATGAAATTCTTGCGGGGGGGGGGGGGGGCTGGGATGGGGGGAGTCCCTCAGTCCAGCCTACACCCACGCCAACCTGGGACCTCTCAGGGGATGTCAGACTAAACCAGCAGTCAGACATCCCTCTCACCATCCGGGACTGCTGGCTCCCAACCACTCGCCTGCTGCCTGCCTGATTGCCCCTAACTGCTTCTGCCTGCCAGCCTGATCACCCCCTAACCACTGCCCTGCAGCCTGATCGATGCCTGACTGCTCCCCTGCCGGCCCCATTGCCCCCAACTGCCCTCCCCTGCCAGCCCAGTTACCCCTAACTGCCCTCCCCTGCCAGCCATCTTGTGATGACATGGAGATGGCCACTTTGTGACCACATGGGCATGGCCATCTTGTACAAGGGTGTGATGGTCAATTTGCATATTACCTCTTTATTATATAGGATATTTTTATTGATTTCAGAGAGGAAGGGAGAGGGAACGAGAGAGAGAAACATCAATGATGAGAGAGGATCATTGATTGGCTGCTTCCTACACACCCCACACAGGGGATTGAGCCCACAACTCAGGCGTATGCCTCAAGCAGAAATTGAACCACAACCTCCCAGTTCATAGGTCCACACTCAACCACTGAACCACACTGGCTGGACTACACCAGCTACATTTTTAAAAATATGAGCCCTGGCCAGTGTGCCTCAGTTGGTTGAGTGCCATCCCATACACCGAGAAGTTGATGGTTGGATTCCCGGTCAGGGCACATGCCCAGGTTACAGCTCGTTCCCCAGTAGGGGGCTTGCAGGAGACAGCCAAAAGATGTTTTCTTTCTCATCAATATTTCTCTCTCTCTCTCCCCCTATCTCCCTTTTTCTCTCTATAAAAATCAATAAAAAGTATTTAAAAAAATAAATAAAAATATAATTGCAGTGAGAAAAATCAGATTAAAATTTTTAAAAATGGAATTTTAAAAGTTTGTTAATCTATTTTGTGCTACTTTTCAATTTCATCAGTAATACAGACACATTATAGTGACTTTTCCTTCCTTGCTCTAAAAACAGAACACACATGATAACCTAAAATAAAAATTAATATCATATAATTTTTATTTAACTGGAGAAATTGAGAAAGGATTATATGAGAATTGTGAGACTGGTGCTTGCTAACTCCAGCTAGACATGATTATGTAAAAATGTTTGCATATAGACCAAATTTGTTAAGAAAAGAATATTCAAAAGTAAAATGGTTGTGCTAGGATGGTGGGATTATGGATAACTATTATTTTCTTTTCCAAAATTTTTAAGGTAAAAATGTCTAGTAATATGAGATCTAAGCCTACCAATACATTTTCAGGAGAAATTAACTCGCACTACAGTTAGCTCATTTGATTGAACTTTTAAACCAAAGAATCAGTCCTTTTTTTTTTTAAACTGAGAATCTTATAAGAAAGTAAAGAACAAAAGGTAATAATCAAAGCTTATCTAAATACTACTGGTGAGAAGCATGTTTGGAAACAAGATACTTACAACTGTCTATAGGTCTTTAAATATTGCTCTTATTGCTTCTTATATCACATTCAGACAGCACATTTCAGAAAAATGTAGAAACAATGGATAAAATAGCCACATAAATCATAAATCATTGCTAGTTGCTTAGAGCACCATTGGTCAACCAGTAGCTTTCAAATGCCTGCCTATAACAGAATCAGCTGAGAATGTAAAGGCATGCCATTACCAGCTCTTTCAAGATCTGGTGTAGGCCCTCATATTTTTAAAATATCTCAGGTGATGCATATGTAAAGTCGGGTTTTGGAACCACTGGGCTAGATTCAGACTCAGCTAACAACCCACTCAAATAATATTGACTGTTGTAGAATTTATACTGGCAACCTTTAAGAGCCTGGTAACAATTCCAGAACCTTAGGAATGATAATTAAGATGACATCACTTGTTTCTATAGAGCATTGTTTTTAAGCATTGGACTCTTTATATATTACTAGATGCCCAGTGCACGAAATTCGTGCACAGGGGGTGGTCCCTCAGCCTGGCCTGCCCCCCCTGCCCCCCTCACAGTCCAGGAGCCCTAAGGGGATGTCCTACTGACAGATGTCCTCTGCGGGAGGCAGCCGGCCGATCAGGTATATAGATACTTTCTGGAGGCAGCACAGACTCCTTCTTTATTACTTTCCTCTGTGGTTGGAGAACAGGGGACTAAAAGGTGGAGACAGAACTGTGGCCGGGCCTGGGGCTTTTGTAGGCAGCGGAAAGAGGGAGATGGCTGGGGAAAGTCTAGACACGTTTCCTTCGATTGTCCTCCCTTCCTCTGGGCCCCTCCCTCCGTTTTTTCCTTCTTGTGGTGGATGCTTGGGCCTCAGACCAACGGGAACCCAGCGATGGTGGTATTCAGCCCCCTCCCTTCTCATCTGAATGTACAGCCGCCTCACTGTTTTCAAGTGACTAAAGTGCTGGGAATCCACAGCTCCCGGCCTTTCCCCTCTTGGTTTTCTCCTTGGGTCGGTTGCAATGTTCACCAAGACACCAAAGCAGCTCTGCCCTGGTAGTTCTGCACTGGCCCCCACCCAGGCCCCGCCAGAAACTCTTCCTCGAGTCTCCAGGTTCACAGTCTGTGCTTGGGGAGGTTGTCCATAGGCCATGCCCCCAGGCAGATGGGGCAGGGAGGCTAGCTTGGAGAGCTGGAGGAAGATGGCAGAGTAAGTTGGTATGAACAGGAATCTGCTCAGCCAGACTTCCTAAGCACCCCACTGGAACCAGGCCGGGCCCCTTCCCAGTGCCAGGAGGACCCCAGCTGAGGTCCCCTCCTTGCCCCAGCGCCCTCCTCCCCGTTCCACCACCAGGGGTGGGAGCAGCTTGCCCGCAACACTCTGGTCCCTGCCAGCCAGGCAGGCGGCGGCACAGGCAGTGAAGCCTAGGGCGCCGGCAGCCGCAAGCTGGCCTGGTCGCCCCTAACTGCCCCCCTGCTGGCCTGATCACCCCTAACTGCCTGCCTGTTGGCCTGATCGCCCCAACAGCTCTCCCCCCAACCCCCGCCGGCCTGGATGCCCCCAACTGCCCACCCTGCCAGCCTGGTCACCCCACACAGCCTGCTGCTCAGTCGTTGGGTCGCCCCTCACTAACCCCCCTGACAGCCTGGTCGCCCCATGCAGCCTGCTTGTTCAGTCGTTTGGTCATCCCTCACTAACCCCCCCGCCAGCCTGGTCGCCCCACTTGGCCTGTTCAGTCGTCCATTTGGTTGTTTCAGATGTGACGGCCCCTGGCTCGCTCTCTATATATAGATGAGTCCCAAATGATTTTTCCCAAGGGAAAACAAGGAAATTGTTAAAGGTCTTAGAGTCCTATCAAAAGCACTCTCTAGCCAATTTGAATAGGCTTGCTGGCCAAAATGGATCAATCTGAGCATCAATAAAAATAGCTACAATAGGGGGGGGAGGGAAAATGGCGGAGGTATAAAAGGACGTGTCCGGTGCCTTGTCCTGGAGCAGATAAGGGTGAGCAGCTGAAACGGGTAACATGCAGCCCGAATAGGCAGAGGATTTTCAGCTGAGAGACTGTCTGCAGCTAGGAAAGACCAAGAACCCCCAGGAAAAAAAGGGCGGTTGGAGACTGCAGCTGAAGCCTCTCGTGGTGCGCCAGCTAAGCAGCGGAGACTGTGCCATCTTGGGTGGTTGTTGCCGGCATCCAGAGACCAGCTACTAACCTGGAAACAAGGGATCTCAAGCAGTGTGACTGCATGAACTCAGACGAGCACTGCTTCTTCTCACAGAAAGGTTGGACATCCCCTAAAGGTGCAGTTTGCAGTTCGGGTTGGAGGGAGGACCGAGCTCGCGCGCGCGTGGGGCAGAATCTGCGCCCCACAGAGTCCGCAGCCGTTGGGACCAGCGTGACCCGCGAGTGGGGAAGGGGCCCCACAGGGCTGCTGGCAGAAGGGAATGCGAAAAATGAGCCCATAGCTGGACTGGATGTAAAGGAGCAGCCTTGGACTTTGCCAATCTGCTGGCTGCTTGGTGCCAGGGGCGAGTGGGCGCGCGGAGACTGCACGCAGACGTGGAAGGTGGAGGCTTCCGAATTCGCACAACTATCAGGCTCTTGTTACAGTTCCCCTTAGATCCGTGCATTTGATTATTAAACCCAGTGCATGGGATTCCCCAGTTGGGGTCATTTGCAGAGCCTGTAGGGGAAAGTTCTTTTGGGGGAGCCTGGGAAACAGCGGGCAGTGGCAAGGAACCAGCTCTTGGCAGTGGTCTTTTCCAAATACAATAGAGGGGAAAAAAAAAAGAAAAAAAAAACCCGACTGATA